CCAACAGGTGATCCAGGTGATTGATATATGTATTTTTTTTCTGCTTATTTTGTTTGTTTTTTTTCCGTTTTTTGCCCTTTATCCCCGTCCCTCTTCTCCGCTGTTTTTCTTTCCCTCTTTCTTTCTCCCCTTTCTTTTCCCCAGTCGGTCCGGTATTTAACAAGTAAAAATAAATAAAATAAACAATAAAAGGTGAATCAAATAGACCATTACGGCAAGGCTGGGATGGTCCATTTGGTAAAGTAAATCCGTTGGGCATCTTTCTTCGCCTTTAGACAATAATTCTGATGCAAAAGAGCCAAACGGGACAGGCAAAAAAAAAAAAAGCCACTCAGTCATGTTAAAATGTCCAATCATATGGCTGCTTTACGGCTAACAGCTCCAGTTTTTGTGCACAGTGAAATTCTGTGTCCTAAAGATGGTGTGGAGTCTCGTTTTATTCCATTTATAGATTTCCATTATAATTAATTTATAGTTGGATTTTTCTTTTGGCCAATGAGAATCTCTTCTGTCAAATACATCAGTGCACGCATGAACTCAGATCTAAATGCTCAGACTCACTTGGGTATTTGATGCATTCACTGTAAGCCTGGATCAGTACAGCAAGACGCTGCCAGATCTGATCACTCTGCATAACCTTTGGCTTCCGCCTGCCCCCGGCTCAGCGATGAAGAGTCATTATCGTGAGTTTGTCTACTACACGTAAAACAAACGTACCTTTCAACATCAGTAACCTGACAGCAGCAGCTCCCCCAGGCCCACAAACAGACGACAGCAGCTGACAATGTGCAGCGAAGCCAACTGCTGGGACACAAGGGAGCAATTAAACTGATCACTTAATACCTGATAATCTGCACGACCTGTCGCAAATGATTAACATCCCACAGAGGCCGGGCGCCAGCGAGGACACGCTAACACCGCTGCAGAGCCTCCAGACCACCATGGCCTACACCTACGCACCTCATCTGTAGCTTTACCTGCAGAAGAAACAAACCTTCCACTTAAACCTGCAGTATAGTTTACTGGCTGCATCAATGAAACTGAAAGAGATGTCCCTGAGGTTTTGTGCTGTTATGTAGATATTAAACAGATCCATGTGTCACAGTTTTAACTGACCTTTTTCTATTGTTAGTAACTGGTCATTAATGAAATAATGGAACTTTCACCAGTTTAATGTTGCTGGTTTAAAGCGATTGATTCCATGTACAATAAAATTATATCTAAAGAGAAGCCTGGTCACGTATTCTCCACCTGAAAACGTCTTTTACCCTCACTGTCATGATTCGGCTGTGTGGCAGGCAGGAAGTGGATCTTCCTGGACATCAGGGTTAGGGTTAGGCCAACATGGCCCAGGATCATGACACTCACTTCTAAAGTGAGGCACATATTTCAGATGTTCCAACATCTGACAAAGTTTTAACATTAACTGAGCCCACTTTGTCCACAGGCACAGATGACTGAGTGTTTTACCTGATGGTAGGTTAAAGTCTTCTAGTTTTTCCTTCACAGTCATCATCAGCTCTTTGTCCACTTGTTAAGGCCTACAGAGGAGTAGACTACACCCCTGGAACCTCCGGTCACTTGGGAAAAACGTGTGTTCCCGCAGTGGTTGTGGATGGTTTTAGGAGGCTTGCTGGGTGAGATCGGTTGCATAGAGGTTGCTGCACCAAAAACCTCCTTGCAACTGCTTTGATCACAGGCAGACGGCTGCGATCAGCTGAAGTTTTTAATGGAAGATGCAGACCTTTCTGCAAAATATTAACATTTACACTCTGAGCAAAAGTGTAACTTTAAAACATGCAGTGCAAACCAGCAAAGGTGGAACTTTTACTTTGAAGGTGAAAGGTCTCCAGTCAGCATTTTCACAGTGTCACTAGCACTTGGTGAATCATTCTTCCACGTGAACAACAGGTGATGCTGATTCTGCTAGAGACCAAAGCAGCACCATGCACCTCTCTGCAGCAACCAGCTGGAGAGTTACACCAACTTGTATCTGAGATGTCACATTAGCAAAATGCTTCTTTTAATCCAAAAACCAATGAGGACTGAGAACTGAAAGGTAAAAACAGCCGAATCCTTATTTGTCTTCCTCTTGATTAGCTGCATCCTTGCACTGTTTGATTTCATCACACAGACTAATTCCACTTAGTGAAGTCTCCTCTAAAGTTTGGGGAAATAAACTCAGCTGGACAATAAGGTTTAAGTTCATACGTAACTTCTGCTGTAAAGTTGGACATTTAAAGCTGAACATCCTTTATGTGGACATTAAAAGAACTGCAATTTCTGTCTCATTCCACTTCATTTTTCAGCCGTTGAAGTTGC